GCTACACACGAGCAAATTAGACCTTCCTACATTTCAGTGTTTTGGCATCTAGGTTTCAGTAGTCTTTTTGGTTCTGTCAGATATTTTTTCATATAACAAAATGGTCTTGATGTCATGATAGGGCCCCTTTAAATCTTAAATCATAATGCACACTACTTTTGAGTGTATGCTGAAATATGCAAGTACCTGCTCCTTCATCTCACATAGCAAGTCCACCATCACCATTCTTCCTTCAGCATCAGTGTTTCCAACTCGGATTCTACGACCAGCACGAGACACCACCAACTCATCAGCTACATAACAATCTGCCAAAGGGTAAAAAAAAAATAAATAATAATAATAGATGACCCATATTTAGCAACAGACACCCAAACTGGACAAAACATGCACACACAATTGCTTACCAGATCCGACACTGTTCCGCACCATTGCCATTGCACCCACAACCTTCAGGTGTTTGGGCTTTAGTTTGGCTAAGATCTTAAAAAAACAAACATACATTGATATTAGACTCTAATATTCTCGTCAGTAATACGAGCAGGTGCATATGTGATCAGTACCTGGAAGAAGCCAGCAACAGCCGCAGATCCACATTTATCTCTGTGCATTCCAGCCATGATTCCTCCGGCCTTGATGTCGGCACCACCGGTGTCATACGTAATGCCCTGCAACAACATACAATGTTCATATGTGCTGGAAACTCTTCTATCCTGGGCGTCCAAATACAGTTAACCTAAAACTCACCTTGCCAACCACCATGAGGGTCTGTTGAATGGGTCCTTCCCCACAGTACAGCAGCTTGATCACTCGAGCCTGGTGGCGCGGCACAGCTGAAGCACAAACATGAGCCTTAAGTACACTTTACATAACACAACACACTAATGATACCCAGAACTGGAGTCTTGAGCTCTCAAGAACACATAAATGTGGATTTGGTCTTGGTTTATGGTCTCATATCTCATTCTACTATCAGTGTAAATTGGCTTAACAACAACCACATTTACTTTGATTACTTACAATGAAAATGTAAAAAGATATTGTAAAAAAAGGTTATACTGTAAAAATGTACATTATGTATTTGTATATATATTACCAGAATGATTTTTTTAAATATCTTTGAATGAAGTCTCTTATGCTCACCAAGGCTGAATTTATGTAATCAAAATTAAACAGTAATATTGTAAAATATTATTACAATTTAAAACAACTCATTTCTGTTTTAATATATTTTAAAATATAATTTATTCCTATGATGCAAAGCTGAATTTTCAGCATTGTTACTCCAGCATACTCCAATCATTCTAATTTGCTGATTTGCTTATTATTATCATTGTTAAAGAAAGATTAGCTGTATTATTTGTAATATTTATTATATATGTATGTTTTTGGTTAAATGGCAGCAATGAAAATAAGTTCAGTGTTTGAAAAACAAATGTCTTACTGTTAGCACAGCGGTTGACTGCAGCCAAACAGGGATACTCCTTCTCCAGAGTATTCAAATTACTCACTACTGTCACCTAGCAAAGACATGCAGATGAATAAAGCATGTCAGTTCTTACTGAGATGAGAAAGAGCTTTAAATGCTCACATAAAGTCTCACCGTTACAGGACTATCCTTGAAAACTACTTGCACATATTCAGCTACACGTGGGGCAGCCATTCGCTCCGGGTCAGAGCCACCGATGTCACGATAGACAAGCCTATACCATACACAAATGATCTTTTTTTTATTGATTTTTGTACACAATGGATCCTCGGAGATACCTGGTTAATTAAAGATCTTTGTCCATATGAAATGCTAAAATAAAACATTGTTTCCACACAGACTCATACCTGCCGCTCTCCAGAGCAGTGGCCAGCTCAGTAACGGCTTCTCCCTGCGCCTGGTTCTTCACCCAGATGCCCAGCACAGCCACCTTATGAGGGGACGACTTGTGCTCCCTCACCTCTAAAGGCTGATGACACAGAAATATAACTAGGTTACACTGATACAGACAAGCAGAAAAGTAAAAAACTAGAGAACAAAGAAGCAGAAATAGAAGGGCATTAGTTCTGTAAGTCCCAGTGTTATTTTAGTATTATTTACATACAATTATACTATTTATTAATAAGTTGGATTGGCTGTTATTTTTATATTTTCAGTTTTCAATTTTCAATTTATTTCAAGTTTCATTTTGTTGTGCTTCTTAAAATGTGATTTTGTCATTTGTATTAGTTCTTCATTTTTAAATGTTTTATATTTAGCTTTATTTTTATTTGTTTTAGTAATTTTAGGACAAACTTATTTCTTATTTTATTTAATTTAGTTGCCAAGGTAACATTTCTAATTTTTGTTAAGCTGATTTCTTCATCTAATATATATAGCTGAAATTCTGCACCAAGGCTGAATTTCGGGAAAGAGACTTCAGATACAGTACTATGGACCACTTAGGCCTATATAAAAGCATCCAAAAAGCAGCATGTCATGGGACCTTTAACAATATCAACACTGATAAGATATAAATAAGGAAATAACTTTTTTAGGAAACTGAAATTTTAATATGTAACCATTCTGATGATTGAATGAAATAAAGTGAAAATTAAACATATAATTTACAAAAAAATAAAAATAAAAATACAATATGTTTCTCACTGTATAGAGAACATGCAGGGCTCCTAGAACAGCCACTAGGGTGTTCTTTGCATAGCTGCTGTGTGGGGGACAAACCAGCAGAGGGCGCTGCATGCCAGCTTTCACAGCCCTATAACAAAAAAATATTCAGATCAACACAATAAAACCTTTAGATGAGTAAAAATTATTTTCAAAGAGAGAAATGTGTCCTGGAAGAACATGAGGCCAAGGACACACACAGAAAAACACAATGTTGTTTTGACAGGATGCACGTTGATCATTACACATCACACACATCATGTTTGCATAGGCACCTCTTAATGCCATTAGCAGCAGCATCTCTGAACCGCCGAACATCATCATAGTCCCGATTCACTGGACCAGTGCAGGCAAACACCAGTCTGTTTCCAGGGAGACCAGGAACCTTGACCACCACGACCTCTTCACCGACGCAACAGTCCACCTGAATGTGACAGCGTGACAGATGTGTGCAATAAAAAGAAATAGATATAAACCGCAGGGCTGATTAGTTGTTTGTGGAGTTGAACTCACTGCGCTGTAGTCCTGTAATGGTGCTTTCAAACACTCCAGCTCATCAGAGAGCTGCTCATGACTTTGGCATATTAAGATAATGCCATCAAAACTGCAAAAAAGAAGAAAAATCCAAATGAACCTTCACAATATATAGCAATATAGAAACTGCAGAATAGCAGTGCTATAATTACTCATTATTACACAGCAAAAAAAAAATATTTCCTTCATCTGTATTATTGTCTTTTTTTTCTAGTATATAACATGTTTGAAACCACATACATTTAATTGTGAAGCAGAATTGTGAAAGATATTAATACTTTTCAGAAAATATACACCATGGCCAGTGTTGATTGTTGTTAACTAAACCTAAAACTAAAATGATTAAACATTATTTTTGTTAATTGAAATAAAGCTGAAACATAATAAAATACAAATATAACAAACTTAAACTTAATTTATTTAAGAAAGAAAGAAAAAGAAATGTAGCCTTGGCAGCTAACTAAAATAAAATAAAATTAAAAAATAAAATAAAATAAATAATTTAATTGCTACAACTGAAATAAATACTTAAGGCTAAATAGAGATATAAAATGAATAAATTGACAAAAGCAAATACCAAAATTGCTAAAACTTACAATTAAAATGAAAGCTTAATTCTAAAAAATATATATTAATAAACACTAAGGCAGTGTATGCATGTGGTTTTATGTCATTTTACTGGAAAATCAGGCCAAAAATGCAGATCTAAATGTGTAGTTCAGTTTACAGAGGGCCACACTTGAGACAATAAAGACAATAAACTCTACTTTTACACATCAGTTATCAGAAAGCAGTCTAAAGTCTATGTGTTGTTGATTGTAATGCAGCCAGTTCAGGGAACAGCAGTGATGACTGATTCATTATAAGTCACAGTTCCTCTGATGGTAATGTGATGCTGCTAAGTGACCTATCATGCTCGTGAGCACCCATGCACAAGCGAGGCCACAAGACTGCAAATGCACATCAAGTTGAGAGTTTGAGACAGGGATTTACTAACTTCTGGTCCTTGCAGTCAGTGGTACACTGGAGAGGCTGGACACTAGAATGAAGAAAAGACAGAGAGAAGATTAAAACCTTTACAAATTTTTCTTGCTTAGTAATCACGTTTACAGACATGAAATCTCGTCAAGGTTAAAAAAATAATAATAATACGTTGACTATAAGTTAGCTTGACTCATTGCAGCTGCTCTCACTATTAATATTTCTGATAATGTTTGATTAACATTTGAGTGTCTTTTGGCATCTAGGAGTAGTGGGGTCCAAAGGACTGAAACTGTGACAAAGGACCATGGTTACGCTTCTGTTTTGCAATTTCTATTTAAAAAAAAAATGTATTTCCACATGCAGTGCTCACTGAAACATTTAGGAAGAATAAATCACCTGCAGCTTCAGACACTGCAGTTCCTCACTGCTGACATGGCAAATTGAAATACTTCTCATATTTCAAATATTTATTCAACGTTGTCATCAGCAAAGAGGAACTGTTCTGCTGAAACTGTTATTTAGTTATGCTTCATGAACTTAGTACTCTGAAATGGGGGCTGCAGCGTGGTGACTGGGAGACTTCGGTTTAATAAAATGCATAATAATAATACTAATAATGTTCAAAATTGACTTTAGTACAGTTTCATTCTGCTTTCTAAACTCTGAGAAGAATTCATGAGATTGATCCCATACGATTAGTACAATCGTAGCAAGAAACAGATTAAAAAGACAATCTCCAAAGAACAAGTTAACATCTATTTTAGCAGCAATGCATAATCTAGCTGTTAGCAATTATCACTTAAAATTATTGCAGTTGCACAAAGACTCAGATAATGCAATGGCCGCAGAAAACTCAATATACTCCCCCGAAGACAGCAGTTATAATAAAAGTGATTTTAAACTTGACCAGTTTTAAATAATCCTCTTACCTTACAGACATCCTCACGGATCCTTATCTCGCCTTGCGCAGAAGTGAAGTCAGCTGACAGATTTCAAAGACAAATCACATGACCACTGGAGAGCTATGGAAATGTAGTTTTTCCGAACTCTGTAATGAAATAAAATGCACAGAAATTGTGGAATAAATACATCAACTTATTTCAAATGCGCGATTTTTAATACGTATTTCAATGTTTTAACTTACGCGTGTATTTCTTTAAATTACGTCTTTGTCAACAAACATCCCTAAAACTACAAAATAAAACCGGAAGTCACAGTGATGAGAAGTCCGACTCATTTCTGTGAATCGGTTCTTTCGAACAATTCATTGCAAACTGGCTCAAATTTTTTTTTTTATTATTTTCGTCCCACTGAACACATGTATCACACACGACTGTTTATTACGTTTTATTACAAACGAAGAGAGTTTATTATATTTCCACGTGTCCCAGTTCATTTTGTCGCAGCTATTAAGTCATTTAGAACCTAAATCTTTTTTTCATTTATAGTAGATAATAATAAAATCAATTTACACCACCCAACTTTAAAACTATGTATTATAAAAAAAAAAAAACCTATGTAACTCGTTTTTTTTTTTTTACAATATTTCTGAACACATTCTGATCACTTTTCATAACAGTTAAATCCTCGTGAATCCGTGAACCTGTTCAACCGATGCAATGAAAAGATCCGACTCAAAAGAATGACTCTTTCACGAATCCGGACATCAAGAAGTCACATGACAGCGACGACAGTGAGTGTGAGCAGACTTGTGTCAAAGTACAAAGATTGTGTAATTTTAGTCGGATTACAGTGCGATGTTGCAGCGAGTAACACATTAAACTACAAACAGATCTTTATTTTGTATCATTTTTTTGTTACTTGCATGATCAAACCTGCTGTTTTTTGCACCAAGATCAGGTAGGACTGTCACACAGCATTGCAAGAAACTGAAAGCAGGGAAAAGTAACCTCTTATCTGCACTGCCTTGCATGATATCTTGTTTCTAACGATAAACATGGTGTATTAAGCAATCAGTAATTTGACTGCTGCTGAATTTTTGTTACATAATCAAAAAAATATATATAAATAAATCTGCTGAAGCTGGGTTTGGGCTGCCTCGCTCCCTTTTTCTGAAATAATGCTCCCTTCAGCGCACCTGCGGAATTATTAATCTCTATCACTTATTTATACATGGTATCAAAAATATATGCGTGTGTTGCAGAAAGTCCAGTGTCCAACTGTGAAGGTCCAGTGATTAACACCGTTATCTATCAGCTTTAAGTATGGTGTTTTATGCAAAACAAAGAGGTTGACTTTTTGTGTAGGAATATTATTTACACAAATGTAGATTTGTTAAAGATGCTCCATGTTTTGTGGCTTTTAAAATAATTCAAACATTTGATTTAAATCAAAAAGCAGTTGAAATAAAGCTGTGTATTGATTAACACCCCTTGAGTTTAATTGAATTTGTTATAATTTGCTTTTAAGTATTCCATTGTTTATTATTTTGTAATTAATTAATTAGTTTTTATTTTTTTTCTTTCAATGTATGTTGCTTGGATTTAGTGTGTTTGTCATTTCAAGAGGTTTAATACAGGTTAAAAACTAGCTGTTTGGTGCATCACCCCTTTAAAAAGATTTAAATACAGCATGCAAAATTAAAATAATTTATTAAATCATTCATTAGAATTCACTACAGACTTGCTGATCTCTGTATAGATATTATAGATGTATTATATATTATCCATGTTTTAGATTAGTGCTTTCACAATGTTTTAAATCAGCACGCCATATGTCACAATTCAGCAACTCATGGATCATCTGTCTGATTCTCTCTCTCTTCAATATGACTTCGCTGTTATTTATGTGCTTGGAATTTGCAAATATGATATTTGTGACTCTATTTGAAGGGCACATTATTTCTCTTGTCATCTTGCACCTCTTGGTATGTTTGTCCATTTCTCCCTTTCACTTCTGTATGTCCTTTCTTCTATCTCTGTATAGATATTATAGATGTATTATATATTATCCATGTTTTAGATTAGTGCTTTCACAATGTTTTAAATCAGCACGCCATATGTCACAATTCAGCAACTCATGGATCATCTGTCTGATTCTCTCTCTCTTCAATATGACTTCGCTGTTATTTATGTGCTTGGAATTTGCAAATATGATATTTCCGACTCCACTTGAAGGGCATGTTATTTCTCCTATCGTCTTGCACCTATCAGTCTGTTTGTCCATTTCTCTCTTTCACTGCTGCATGTCTTTCCCTCTGTTTTCTAATAGATGAGATTTCTGGGTATCTCTCAGCTGAGTTTGAGGAGACTCAATGCTGTATTCTCTGCAGGCACCGTCAGAGGCACCGCAAGCTCAGCCGCTATGAGACTCGTCCAGTTCTGCCACAGAGGCGGCGAGGGGGGTGTCAGAGTCGGGGTGGAGCAGGCAGGAGGTCAGGGGGTCATTGATCTGAAAGCTTTCGACCCCTCCATGCCTTCCACTATGAGAGAGTTCCTAGAAATGGGGGAAAAGGGAATGGACTGTGCTAAGAGGTATTAAGAATGCACACTGTAACACAAACTACACACACTCAACAGAGAGAGCACATACTTTACATAGACCGGTCATTTTGTCTGGATCTATTAATTCTAAATCTATTATAGATTCACTTTATTTTAAAATATTAAAAAAATGCAATTTCTACATAAATGACTTGAATACAGCTCTTCATTATTATTATTTTTTAAATAATTTATAAATATGTCTTTAATTTATAAATAAATATGAATTTGATATTTTTGTGGGGGGCATAAAGAAAAAAAAAAAAAAAAAAAGTCAGGGTGATGCAACTGTTCCAATATCGTAATAAAGAAAGAAAATCATTCAAAAATGGAATTCTTGAAAAGATAATAATGTAGTTTAGCATGAATCTTTTATTACTCCACAGAAAACAATTTTGTGAAAGTTTCTTAAAAAACATTCTGCAAAGTCATGTGGTACAACCAACAGGCAGAAACATGCAGAGGGAAAAAAGGTAGAAAGTACTGCTGCAAGGTCGACAAGTCACTTAAAATAACAGATAATTTGACGCTTTTTGTGACAAGGAAAGGTTAGCTCAGGTTGCACTATGTCATGTGGAACGACTCCCCCAAAATTTTATATTTATGAAAAAAAAAACATGTTAGCTAATTTTTTAGGCATTCAAGAGATGTATTACGTGTAGAAAAGTACTGCTGCAAGGTCGACAAGTCACTTAAAATAACAGATAATTTGACGCTTTTTGTGACAAGGAAAGGTTAGCTCAGGTTGCACTATGTCATGTGGAACGACTCCCCCAAAATTTAATATTTATGAGTAAAAAAACGTTAGCTAATTTTTTAGGCATTCAAGAGATGTATTACGTGTAGAAAGTGTCAAGTTATAGAAAACAGCATTTATTCATCTTTATCTCTCACTCTCAGGGCTTTGTCCAGCGGCCAGCATGTGGTGGTGCAGATGGATGTCAGGCTGCTTTCCCCAGTGACTGGCCCAGAGAAGGTGGTGTGTGTTGGTATGAATTATAAAGACCACTGCCTAGAGCAAAATGCCCCGATTCCTAAAGAGCCTATCATATTCAGTAAGTTCCCCTCCACCATCACTGGCCCTTATGATGACATCATTCTCCCAGCGGAGAGTCAGGTGAGTTTCAAACTGACAGCTGGTGTCACTTTAAATCAACAATGACACTCCATACTACAGAATAACTACAGTATGAGACTGACTGTTGTAATGTCAGCTGGAACCTGTCACATGCAGATTTCTGTTCGACATGTAGAAGTGTCCAACTTTAAAATAATCTTATTTTATTCAAAATCGAATATTGAAAATGTAGCAAATGTACTACTGTTTTCACTCTGGGGTGTGAAACATGCAATCCATGTTTTCACATTGTGGCGGCTCAATTTACAGGAAGTGGACTGGGAGGTGGAACTTGCCTTTGTGATTGGACGGAAAGGGAAGCATATTAAGGTAGCAAAATGGTTATTTATATATGCATCTGTTGACATGTGTGTTAAAATAGAAATGTTCTGTTAATTGATAAGATTTATTACAGTATATTAAACATTACGTGTGTAATTTCAGCTGCACTTGCAGGACACAATCACATTTAAGCATGTGAATGAGATGAAATTATAGGTTCAGTGTTTTTTTGTTTTTTTTTTGGCTAAATGTGAGTCGTCAAAATATGCAATAGAACACATTTAACCCTATAAAGCCTACTCTATTATAAGGCGTCTAAATTAACATGATTGAAACTTTGCTGAAAAATCTGTTGTACAATCTGCTACATGCCTTCTGTTGCCTGATTTACGTCAGAATCTTTACTGATTTTTATAAAGTAAACCTAAGAATAACTTTTCTATTGTTAGTAATATTTCAAGATGAGCATTTACTGAACTGAAGCAACTTTACTTAATGATCCATACATGATTTTTTAGAAAAATCATGTTAAAGTGTATCAAATATGATACATCAGGCTTTTGGGAAATGTTTATTTGTACTCATTTCTCAGTCATCATTGTATTGCATAACATGTTTTGCCCCCCACAATAAAAATTACAAAGTTTTGATCATAAACTAAGCATTTAAATATCATCTTACCAAGACATATTATTGGAAGATATAGAGTGACAACTGATATTTATATGCATTTATGTAATGTCTGCAATACCCTTATAAAAATATACATTTTGCATTTTAAAATCAGCATCTGCATCAAATTGCATATTTTTGCTCAGTTTGGGCCTCTAAATAAAACGGAAGTGTTTTTACCTTGAGTATAAGCTCCTTATTCTTATATATCATTATATGAGACATAAAAGCCTAAAAAAAAAAAAAACACATGCAAACTTTTTTATTTTTGTCTGAAGGTTCAATAAAATGCTCCATTTCAAAAGATTTGACTAACTATTAATTTATATGCCAGGCTTTACAGGGTTAAGTCAATAAAGACTTAAGTATAATGCAGCATCCTAGCAGCAGGACATTTCTTGTGTCATTCCCACAATTGCCCCAACCTAATTTTAA